ATTTTAACATTTTGTCACATAACTGGCACATGTTCGTTTGAAACAGAAAGTGACATCAAAGGGGAACTCCTTAAGAATGGAAACGTCATGGTTTGTCTATTGAAACAATATTTTTTGGACTCTGAAAGTGACGCAAAAAAACGTTTTTGTGATGGACTTGCGACCTGTCCAGAGTGTACCCCGCCCCTCGCACTGTGACTGCTGGATATGGGCACCAGTGACCCACGCGACCCTGAAAAGGAAGAAGCGTGTACAAAAAATGGATGGATGGATGGATGAAAGTGACGCACAAAAATTTGAAGAAACGTCAGATTCTTCTCTGCAGTCTGTGTTGTTAGCCGTTGCAGCAATGGTCTGTTCACATGCAGACATTCCTCGTTGACATCACTTCCTCTTACTTCACATGCAAAAATCTCAATAACTGTTCRTCTTAGTGGCACAATTTATTTTGCAATATATTTGTTATCAATGTTAACTTACAAAAAAATGTTTGTTTTTTCTTTATTACAAACGTTTGATGTAATGGGCACTTTAAAAGCACAATGCAAAAGCAGTCTTGTTTAAGAAAATCTATTCAAGTCATGTAAAACAATATTTCTAGATGATGTTTTAGATCTTAGTAACACAAATCAGTAAGACATATCTAACAATGCAAAACCTACAACCATAAGGCTTTTAAAATACAGCAACTGAAACTTAGTAAAATACGTTTTTCTCTCTCTGGGACTAAATATATCTAAACAGATTATAGATTAACATAACTGTATTGACTGTTTTCCAAAGTTGGTCTAAACTAAAGTTTCTTGGGGACAAAAATTTATATATATCTTTAAATTTGCCTGACAAAATGTTCATAATTTACGCAAAGGTCCAACTATTGAATCCCCTTTTATGACCAGTGAGCATTCTGTAGCCGTACAGCATTGCCTGGTTAACACCATACAGAATGCCATAAACAGATAACTCAAGGCTCTGTCACACTATAACTCTTTAGACATCTTATGCCAACTCATGACTTTTTTATGTCTAAATTAAAAATAAGTTAAATATTTGATCAGTTTTTTTAGCATTACAGTATGGACATGCCTAAAAGAGGCTTTTAGTTGATTTATTTCTAATTCCATCTTAAACGTAGATGTCTTTAAAATGTTCATAAGTTGCCATAAGTTGTCTAAAATGTTACAGTGTGACAGTACCTTTAAGAATGTTATTGTTATTTGACAACTTAGCATTCGCCTCCTCCTTGTGTTGTGTAGTTGATAAAGACCTCCAGGTTTCTGAACAGAACTTTGTATTTGTTAATCCTTTTGTTGTCTGTCTAATTTGCTTGGTAAGATTATAGAGCGAAGTCAAATTACCCAAAAAATATGAAATCCTTTGAGCCTATAATGAAAAAAGTACTTCTTTTTTTTTCTTTTTTTTTTTGGTTTTGTTTTGACAAATAGCTGATCAGCTTGGCTTAAATAAAAAGAAACACGTCAATATAAAAGAAAAACAGCACATGAAAGAAGCATCTTTATAAGAAAAGAAATGACAGTTTTTTATGTCCTTACTTTTAACAAAGCGTATGTCCTTTTGTTAACGGCTTCAAGTATCGACACACCTGCCTGAGCCGCTGTGTCCACCGTCCCACTAACTGTACAGGACGACAGCTAGGTCACCCTGACACTTTCAGAGGCTTCACATAATCAATGGTCCGCACAATGACACCAATAGAGGATTAYGAGGACTCACTAAGTCGCTGTCGGTCAGCATACTGCATTGATTTTGTCATAGTTGTTATCGGCGTATATTCCTGTTCTGTAGAGTTCTGTGGCAATCTCTTTTTTTCTATCTTTCCTTTTTATTTCATCAAGTATTGCAAAGCTCTTCTTTGTCAGAAATTGTTAAATGTCCAGACTTAATGTTCGTCTACCACAAGGTTAAGAGCCATATTTTTCTTAGAAGTAGCAGCACTGAGCTACTGTAAAAATAATAACTAGGGGTATAAAGTGTTTTTTTCCCAGTATGATTTGACTACTAATGCTGGTTGTGTTCAAACTATTTTTTCTAAAAGGTCCTGGCATTCCTTCAATACAGGCGCATTCTTGCCCCCTGTTATGCCCAAGAGACATGGTAGGATTATCTTATAATGAGATGACAATGAGTTACAACCGTTTGGGTCAATCCTTGTATATTATGTTTTGCACAAATGTGTCCAGTATTGTCAGATTTGTTAGTGCTCAGAGTATGTGGTGAGGATTAATTTTAACTACGACCACATCAAGCACTCACTCAATATCTGTAAATGTGTCTAAGTTATCAACATTTTTGTGTTGGAAGAGGTCAGCTGTGGTCTTAAATTGGATTGAGTTGAACTTTGAATCAGTTGGAGATCATCATCGGTTGCTTTTAGATTTGTTTTTGGAAGAAGGTATCGATACTTTAAGCCACCCCTCCCCCTTCACCCCCCAATGCCTACAAAGCTTGCAGAAGTTTGCGAAATTTGCGTACGTGAAAAAATATAACGGATGAACCAGGAGCAGAGAATGTGACGACAACAGCTATTGAAGCTGTAACATCACTACACACCTACACAGTTTATTCGGGTGTCTTCCTCTGGATTCATAAAATAATTGCCACTTTTTTCACAAAATTTACAGTGAGGAAAATAAAGCAAGTTTTCGATTGTATATGAAGCAAAAATTGTGCAACAGCAGCTATCTAAACTGTGAAATCTTTACCCACCYACTCTATTCAAGCCRGCACRGTTTATTCTTTGTCTCTTCCTCTGGCTCCATTGAATCATGGCCCATTCTCTGTGTGCGCTCACTGCTGGATCAAAGTTTTGCTAAGATTCAAGGCCCATCCCCCATTCTAATTCTGATTGGCTAGTTGGCCTTTCTAGTGTGTTTTGGGAGCAAAAGCTGTGTCTCATCCAAGAAAATGTCTGTTAAATCTTGGCAAATCCGAAGACCGGCGTGGTGCCCTAAAGTCATCCTGAGGTGTCACCAAACAGAAAAAAAGCATCGGAAAACCTAACAGGAACACCAAAAGTTGCCCCGAAGTCCCTGAAGCTAAAAGACTGTTGTACATCCAATGATTATTTTCTGAGAGTTTTAYTACTATTTGTTCAGTAGTCCATGAGCTATTTTGCTAACCGGACAGCTGAAAAACACTGATACAGGCAAAAATATTATTGCCCTCTTAATCAGAAGCAGTCTATAAAGTTTGTCTTAATGATTCACTTTTTTTAAAACTGATTACTGGGTTAGGTTAGCATAAGCACATAAGTTATGGTCTCCCTCTTCCTCCTCCCCAGCATTTTATACAGTGATAAATGAGCAGAAAAAGCTGAAGTAGAACCCATGCCTTAATTCACCATCTCAAGACCTTTTTGTTACTCAGCTGAGCTAAACAAGAAGGAGCTAACAGTATGAATGGCACGCATATGAAAGGATGAAAAATCAACATAGACTAGTCATTTGAATGTGCTCATTAGGACGAGGAGGAAGCGTGGTCGAAGGGCATCCATCATCGCAGACTAGACTGTCATCTCACCGTGCATCTCATACATGATTATACAAAACATGCACAAATGCATCTTGCTTTCTTTTTATACATGTTTGTTGCAGCTCARCCTCATCTATCTAACCGTGCTGACCTCCACGACCATTCAACAAAGCAAGCCTTCTCCACAAAAATACTGATTCCTGCGTTTATTTACCTGAAATATATAGCTGAAGTACCACAGGCTGTTACAATATTTCACCATTGTTGGCTTTTTKGGGGGGATTATGTTGGTGTTTTGCTAGTTATAGTTGCAACATCTGTTAAAAACAGTTTTAAATCTAATAAAAAGAAAAGATTTGCAGCTCTGAAAGACAGATTGTCTGACAGGCTTGTTATCAGGATTGTAAATGGTGTTTGGCTAAATTTATGGTTCGATGTCTGTACCGTACGCTCGACTACGAAAAAAAAAACTTTGACGTAAATTGTGTCACCTTTCATAGTCTGCGAGGCTGCACCTGCTCCCTCAGCAGATGAATGTGCCGCCTATTATTTATCAACTTGGGGGACAGTGCGAATCAGTGAATGCATGACAATAAAAGTCCCATTTTTAAGGTGGCGTCATAAACAAAACAGACAACGACTGCTCGTCAAACCACAAGCAGAAAATAAAAAACACATGAATTGTTTTGAGGATATACACTGTGTGGAGAATTTTCTGCTGTTTGGATAATTTATCACTCCTGATCTACAAAGACACAAAACTGCATGAAGTTTCTGGTGAGAACCTCCTTTTGTCTTCCTGTCTTTCGAATGGACAGTGACAAACCAATGGATAATTGCCACAAGTTAGTCTATAATGAAACCGTAAACCCCTAATTAGAATGCTGTACTGATGGTGATCCAAAAATAGGAGGGAATGTCCAAACAACTTGTCTATCTCTGCTTATTCTCAAAACTTATATTTTAATCTTACTGGGTTATACAATTGTTGAATGTGTATTGTTTAGCTAGAACTATTTATTTTGAACTCCTGTCATTATTCTCTGTCTATATAATGTCAGCATGCTAATACGTTTCCAGGTATCGTTTCTAAAAACTGGGTAAAATACTTGAAGCACAAAAAGACCGGGATTGCTTTGGAAACTGCCCATATGCAGAACTGCCTTCCTGACATTGGCAAAGAGATTTACACCACATTTCAGCACATGAAAGGAGCCTCATTTTGCATTCAAAGAACCTGCCTCCACCAGTCAGTCTTTGAACTTCCATTAAGCTATTTATCACCATGCTGTGCAATTCATTTCATTCTCCTTACTCTGCTTTCTCTTCTTCGCAATGCAGCTTCTGTTGACCCTCTGYGCACCGTGTGCATTGGCCACAGCATCAGAGTTTGTGAAGTTTAACATACCCATCGTATTGTTTTGACGTTCTCGCACTAATTATAGAATGTTCTCTTTGGCATGCCTTTTTTTATTCTCTTACATTTTCTGCGTCTCTGCCTTTTCCAGTTGCTCCAACTATCCATGAGATGAAGAGTCACGGTGTGGGTTTGGGACGCACAGCTCTGCTTCGGTGCGAGGCTGCCGCCGTACCGCCTCCATATTTTGAGTGGTACAAAGGGGAGAAAAGGTGAGCCCAGTWTGGTCATTTGTTCTCCTCTGTGACAAAATCTCATTACATCACTCTTCTAGATGTCTACTGGAAGTGTCTTCACAGATGTACAGCTTCGTTCCTGCTTGATKTCTAACTGTGGTGTTTCCTAAACATTACTGCAGCTCAAATAATGAAAGTTTTGTAGCAAAAATTGTATTATTTTGCAATAAAGGCAACCAAGATTTGTGAATGGCTAAGTAAGGTAAACTTGGTTAGAGCCCTGTGGTGTTTACCAGCTGAGGAACTCAAAACTAAATCCAAGCCAGTGGTTTTCAATTATTTGATGTCACCCCCCMACCCCAAAGGAAATTCTTCACACACCCTTACTTGAAATACTTTTGAGAACCTGATATAATTTAAATATGTATCTATACAAAACAATATGTGTCTATGGCACTAGCATTGTGTATATAATCACCTGATAATGTTAGAGGAAACATTGCATAATGTGAAAGAATAAGTATTGGTCAAAGCTAAAAGGCCAAATTCTGTCAATATTTATTGAAGAAATGTTATATAACAAATTATTTATATAGAATTACAAATACCGGTAACCTTTTCTAAGTTATGTTTTATGTAGCGTTTATAACATTCATAACATCGCAAATAAAGAAAAAGATCAAATTTAGAAAGTCCATTCTATTGCCTAACTCTCAATCACCAACTTTTTCAATTATTATATTTTATAGATACATTTTATCACAATCCAACAAATCAGGTAAAAARRAAAMCCYYACTTAAWATCCAATKGTTTGACTTTACAAGTAGAAAATAATACAAAAAAAWKAACGTCTATTATTTGTTGCTCTTTCCACCTCAAAAATCAAAGATCACTGAAAAATTCAAACAGTTTTCTTGGCTTAAAAGTAGGCCAGCTGTCATGAGAAGAATGTGACAAAAAAGAAATTTCACATTTAAAGTAGGGATGCACGAAATATCGGCACTAATATCGGTATCGGTCAATACTGGTCATTTTTAGAATATAGGTATCAGTCTGATATGTAAAACTGGGTCAATATTAACGTCTGATATTGATTTTCTACTTTTTAGCTTTGTGTTTCTGTTTTGGGAGTGGAGACCGGTTGAGCGGCATCTGTTTGATCATGATAGTGATATTGACGCTGCACAGCCAGAATTAACTGAAGTAGGGAGCCATGTCAGAGGTCTGATCATTTATTTATTTATAACCTTTATTTAACCAGGAAGTTCCATTGAGATTAAAAACCTCTTTTTCAAGAGAGACCTGGCCAAGATTGGCAGCAGCAGCAGCAAATACAACACATAGTTTCACATCTTAAAACAAAATTAAAAACATCAAATAGAAAAACATTAAAAGATTTAAATTAAAACAAATTAAAAACAAGTGCATGTTATGGAGTCAATTTCAAGACCTTTCAGTTTTGATTTAAAAGCACTCACTACAATCAACTCATACAGTTCCCAGTCTTTCTGCAATGTATCATGTAGAAGGTGCAGAATGGATAAAAGCCTTTCTTCCCAATTCAGTCCGAGCAAATGGAACAGAAAGCATCAAAAAGTCTTGAGAGTGGATGGAGTAAGAGACAGTGTTTTTTTTTTTCAAAGTACAAATGTAGGAGGGAAGAAGTCCACATATTGCCATGTATATGAATGTATACCAATGACAGTTGGTATACATTATCAAATTTACAGTTTACAGTATCAAAGAAGACCAAAKTGTGTTTGTACGTATATGTATAATGTAATTGGTGTGTTTGTGCAATATTGGTAAATATTGGTTATTGGCCTTAACAGCAGTAATTATATCGGATATCGATATTGCCTGAAATTTTCATATCGTGCATCCCTAATTTAAAGTACTGCCTTTGGAGCCGATAATTATTAACGAGGGCCAGATTTGGCCCGTGGACCTTGAGTTTGAYACATGCTATAGACTAAACTAAGCTACAAAAAATTTCATCTTCAGCTTCAAAGAAAAATGATGATTAGATAAAAAAAATTGTTACATTTTTAAGCTGTTTCTGTGACCCTTTCTGAAGCGACACTGAATTCCTTTATGGAAACGTGTTTTAATTTAATATTTTGCTGGATAGAATAAGCTTGTGTGGTAAACATGGTCCTGCCAGCCGACAGTCGCTTGTCGCTCCAGTTTCTGTTGTTACTACGGCACAGCTCTGGCTCAYTGGATAGAGGTTGTCCTACATTCGACAAAGATCAGTGGATCCCCAGTGCCTTCACATATCCTTGGGCGAGACTCTGATCCCCCACATTGTCTCCGATATCCTTACTTGTGTGTGGTTGCAGGGAAATAATCATGCATGTATATAGCTGAGGGAAAAAATAGAAGAAGTGTTGTATGATAAAAGTACTGTGAAGTGCTTTAATAAAAGGTGTAGAACCTGTGAATCATCCACCTTTTATCTGGTCCTCAATCCAGAATTTACCTATTTGTTCCTGTTTTAATATTAATCTTTGAATCTGTTCTTTGATTGTTTCCTGTTAGACAATCAAGTGAGAGTTACACAGCTTAAGTTGTGTTTAGAATATATATTTGTAAATAAAATGAACGTTCAACATAGTCATACCATTTGACAGCACTCATAGTTTGTCTCTTCAGAAAAACCACATCCAAACACTAATCCTGAAAATTTCTTGCACAGAAAAGCACTCTTTGTGCTTTTTTACTTTTGTATGAGATAATGCGTTTCTTCTTCCTCCCATTSCAGCAGCCTGTTGTCCACAAAAACATTCTAGCAAAAGTCATTGTGTCTTTTTTTTTCATCTCACATTCTAATAAAATGTTTGCTAGCTGGCTTAAATCAATTGCGACACATACATCAATCAGGCTAGATTCAAGTGTCAGTTCTTGAATTTAAAAACCAAATTACCCCCATTACCCATCATTTACCCACTCCTGGTGAGCACAATTTCAATCATCAGCTCACACTGTGCTAATTGTAATTATGGGGTGGATTCAATTTATTCAAATTGCCAAGGAGGCTGGTTGGCATGATTCTAGTCTTTACTTAATTCAAGGACTCGTTTCTTCTGTGACTTCTTACTTGGCTAAATTGTGATTTCTTCATCTAATCATCATCATGAAATGGTGGAAGGACTCCGGCGTAGAACATCTTTAGCTTCTTTACTCAGTTAGCATTGACTTCTTCACTGCCTGGAAAATATGAAAACTGCTTCTTTTTTTTTTTGCTCTGTGTTGATGCAGCCAGAACATTAGTAGAGCTTTCCCTACAGCTCATCTCTATCAGATGTGGCGTGACAGTTTTGACAAGTAAATCTTTTTCTTGCTGTGTCACTGCTTTCATTCCTGAATGGAAGTGGGCGAGTGTTTATGTGTACGTCTGTAGGGGTGGGGAGGTTTCTTTCACCATGACAGAAAAAAATTTGACTAGTCTGATGTTGGAATGACACAAAGCACACAAACCCAGATTTTGACTCAGTCATATTTCCTAACTGTAGATTTCGAGCTCTCTGGGCT